CTCAGCAAACAAATGAAAAGTATGACTAAAAGAAACTAAAAGAAGTAAAATGCAAATTATAGAACTGGAAATTAAAATATAGTAAATGAAAATTTGCTGGAAGGGCTTAACAGCACAAAAAAAGAGGAAAGATTGGCAGCAGCTGTTAGCTCAGGGCAAATCTTCCTCAGCAAATAAATAAAAACAAATAAATAAATATATAAGAAGTACACACACACAATGCTGTATTGATGCATGTATAACATATGTAGATGTTATACCTATGGTGATAGTACAAAGTGCTGGACAGGAAAGGAAATGGAATTATACTGCTGCAAGATTCTTACATTTTATATGAAGTATAATAGTTACTCTAAGTAAACTGTGATAAATAAAGGATGAATATTATAATACCTAAACAGTCACTAAAAAGAAAAGAATCAAAGTAGTATAGCTAACATGTGAACAGAGAAATTATAAAGAAATACGAAAAAAGAGACAGATAGGTAGAGAGTAAAGAGATGGAAGAAGAAATACCCTGCAGAGATTAACCTTCAGAAAGCCAGAGCAACCACATTAACTTTAGACAAAGCCAACTTCAAAACAAGGAGTATTACTAGAAGCATGGAGGAGCATCATTTTTAACAACAAAAATCAATAAAATGGGCCAATTCAATAAGGAGGAATAACAATCATAAATTTAGGTGCACCTAATAACAGAATTTCAAAATACAAAAAGCAAAAACTGAAAGATTCAAAGGGGAAAAGAGACAAATCCACAATCATACTTGGAGATTTTAACAACCTTCTCTCAGTAATTGATAGAAAAATTAGACAAAAATTAGTAAGGACACAATAGATGTGATCAAATGTACAAACTGCCTCAATCTGATGGGAATTTACAGAGTAGCACAGCAGCCAACAGTGGCAGCACACATCCTTTTTACGTGCACTGGAGCCTTGACTAAGACAGAGCATATGCTGGCCATAAAACAAGTCTAAATAAATCCCAGAGAGTGAAACTTACAGACTATGTTACCTAACCATGACACACTTAACTTAGAAACCAGTGACAATGAGACGTCTAGAAAATCCCCAAATATTTGGAAATTTAAAAATGCAGAAGAAAAACGAGAAAACACCTAAAACTGAATGATAATGAAAATATGATATATCAAGATTTGTGGGACAGAGTAAAAGCAGTGCTTCAGGGAGCCGTTCATATTCGAACAGATAAAAGATTTAAAATCAATGGTTTAGGTCTCCACATTAAGAAAGCAGAAAAAGCAAGAAAATTAAACACAAAAAAAGTAGACAAAGAAGTACAGATCTTATTCATCTTTTCAAGGAACCAAAATGCTAGAAAAGCATGTAACAAAATTCAACATCTATTCACAATATTCCCAGAAAACTAGGAATCCATGGCCCTCTGATAAAGAGCATCTATGAAAAATTTACAGTTACCACCACATTTAATAGGGAATATTGAACCTTTTCCTTACAAAATTGGAATATGGCAAAAAAAATGCGCTGTTGCCACTTCTATTCAACTTATATTGGAGGCCCTAGCCAGTACCATAAGGCAAGATAAAGAAATAAAAGCATAAAAATCAGACAAGAAAAAGTAAAACTGTCTCTATTCACAAATGACCTCTTTGTTTACATGGGACATCCTAAGAAATCTAGAAGCTGTCTGGAAAAGCTGTCCTAGAAAAGGAATTTAGGGAGGTAATGGGATATAAGGTCAAGGTATAAAAGTCAATTGTATTTCTATATACTAGCTGCAAATAATTGAAAAATGAGAGAAAGAAAGAATGAGAGAGAAAGAGAAATACTCAACTAAAAGACCCCATTAAGAATACGAATAGGTAAGCCACAGACAGTGAGAATATATTCACAATATACACATCTGACAAAAGCCTTTTATCCAAAATATATAAAGAACTCATACAACTCATTAACAAAAATACAGTTTTTAAAAATAGTCCAAGGACCGGCCTGGTGGCCTAGTGGTTGCATTCAATGCGCTCCACTTTGGTGGTGCGGGTTTGCAGGTTCAGACCCCAGGCACAGACCTACACCATTCATCAGCCATGCTGTGGCAGCAGCCCACATATAAAATGGAGGAAGACTGGCACAGATGTTGGCTTGGGGCTAATCTTCCTCCAGCAAAAAAAGAGGAAGATTGGCAACAGATGTTAGCTCAGAGCAAATCTTCCTCCCTTCCCCCACCAAAAAAAGTCCCAAAGATTTCACAAAGCAAGATATATGAGTGGACAATAAGCACAGAAAAAAATGTTCAACATCTTTAGTCATCAGTGAAATGTAATGACAACCACAATGAGATACTGCCACACATCCAGTAGAATTGTTCATTCACAAGTCTGATAATACCAAATGTCGCATGGATGAGAAGCAAGTGCACTTTGTCATACATTGCTGGAGGGCATATGAAATGGCACAACTACTTTGGAAAAATGCTGGCAGTTTCTTACGTAGTTAAACACATTCTATGAAAAATCCTATGTATCCAAGAGAATTAGAAACATATCTCCACAAAAAAGACTTTTACAAGATTGTTCACAGCAGCCTTATTCATAACAGCCAACGCTATAAACAGCCCATAAGTCTGTTAACAAGCCAATGGATAAACAAATTGTGGCATATTCATAAAACGAACTACTGCCGTTAGGGGTTGTATTGTGTCCCCTAGAAAGATATGCTGAAGCCCTAACCACCAGCCCCTGTGAATGTCACCTTATTTGGAAACAGTGTCTTTGCAGATGTCACTAAGATGTAAGTTGATATGCGGTCAAGGAGTAGGCTAGGTCCTTAATCCAGGACGACCGCTGTCTTTACAAGAGGAAGAGAGACACAGAAACAAACACAGGGAGTGGGCCGTGTGAGTACAAAGGCAGAGAATGGCATGTCGTGTCGCCTACAAGGTATGGAACACCAAGGATTGCCAGCAACCCCAGAAGCTAAGAGAAAGCGTGGAACAGACTCCCCTAGGACCTCCAGAGAGAGCACGGCCCTGCCGACACCCTGAGTTGGGATTCCAGCCTCCAGAAGCGTGAGAGAATAGATTCCCGTCGTTTCGTGCCACCTAGTGTTGTGGTGCTTTGGTACAGCAGCCCTAGTAAACCAGGACAAACCACCTGATAATAAATGGGGAGGGACTTGTGGGCCACCAGATGAATCTCCAAAACATTATGATCAGTGACAGAAGCCAAACCTGAAACTAATTCATGATGTAAAAACGTGAGAACTGTGGTTGCCTCTGGCCAGGGACAGCGCATCTAGGGGAGTGACGAGATAGGGGAAAAGCACAAAAAATTTTTCTGAGTCGATTGAAATGTTCTCTCTCTTGATTAGTGTGAAACTGCAAGAAAGCACGCATTTGTCAACCCTCATTGAATTGTACACTTAAGATCTGTGCATATACTCCAAGGGAAAATGTCTGTAAATAAATATTAAACTCTAGTTAGTAGGTTTGCTTTTTGTAGTAGTTTGTTAGCAAACCTGAAAATATTGTCTGTGTCCCCCAGGCTTCAGCAAATGAGTAAAGATACTGAGGCTATGGAAGCTGGGTTTCTTACTAGGGTGGAGGGAGCTATAAATACAGAAAGAGACGACAGCAAACCCTGTGCTGTTGGATTGGAGTTAGAGGGTCTCAGTATGAACTCATGGTTTTTAGTATGGAAAGCCAGCCAGCTAGTAAGAAAAGGGGTGGAAAACAGGAGATATTTTCCTTTTCGTGTCTTTCCGTCTCTCTGGATTTGAAATGGCAAAATGTAAGGAAGTAAGTAAAAGGACTAAGAATGCACGTCACTGACAGCGGACGGTTCCCTTGAACGGATTCTCATTAAATGTGTGCTGGGACTTTTTCTTTCTAATGGTATGTGAACTATACTAATTGTGGTGCATCTAAACTATTATTTCTTAGTCCTAAGAAAGACAGACTGGTAGAAAAGGGAATAAAGAATGAAAGGGTTTTTTAAGGTTTCATTTATTTTGGTAGTTGTCTTGAGGCTAATCACTGGCTAATGAAAACATTCTTAGGTGTATAGTTACTAAACTTACCTTCAATCTTTCTTCGATATCTTATGTATTTACTTATTTATAGGCAGGACCTGGAGGAGATGACCTATATTTTTAACCCCAGATGAGTAAGTTTGGTTTTTTTAAAACTAAGGACAGGGGCCGGCCCTGTGGCTGAGTGGTTAAGTTCACGCGCTCCACTTTGGGGGCCCAGGGTTTCACTGGTTCGGATCCTGGGCGCAGACATGGTGCCACTCATCAGGCCACGCTGAGGTGGTATCCCTCATACCACAACCAGAAGGACCCACAACTATGTACTGGAGGGGTGCTTTGGGGAGAAGAAGGGAAAAAGAACCAAAAAAAAAAAAAATAAAAATGGGGCAGGATAAGAATATATATATTAAAAAAAAAAACTAAGGAAAATTATACTCTTTTATTTATTTATTTTGGTCCTCAACTTTCCATTTAGTTTCACTGAAAATTAGTATATTTTCTATGGGTTTTATTTTGTAGAATACAAAACAATCCATTCTCTAAATACATTAACACTAGTAAATACTTCAAAGTCAAAATTTTTTTTCTCCAAAATTATACTGGCAGTTTTTTTTCCCGTCTCTCACTCTTTTCTTCTGGTAATTAATAGTCAAGTATACTGATGTAAAAGCCACCAATATTAGAATGTGCAGTCTGCTAGATGATGGCAAATAAAATCAGTAGGAAGGCACAGCATCCCTAGGTAGAGACAGGTGAGGGATCAGTTTGGATTTTGTTGACAGCCCTCCTTCAGGTCACGTCACCTTGGACAGACACCACCCTGAATGAGTCTAGTAGATATAAGTCAGTGGCAGCAGGTAGCTGATAGGCCGAATTCTAGTAATTAATCTGTCAAACTACTAGTAGGATGATTCCTACCTGCCAACATAACAAGAGAGGGCAGGCATACAAAGAAAGCACACAGGAGAGCAAATGCAGCACCTTACCGTCCACAGGCTTGACCTCCACCGGCACCTGCTCCTCTCGCCCCCCCATGCTGTTCTCTTTGACACTGTCTGTCTCCTGCCAGAAATCTCCCACCGAGGCACTGTCCACGGAGGCCTGCGAGTTGGAGCGGCTGACAGCAGGCGAACGTAGGGATTCACTGGAAAGCATCCTGCTAATTCTCTGGCAGCGAGGAATGGATTTTCTGAGGAAAGAATAATATCTGTGAATGAGAATCAGTCCCTTTTATGCTATAAATCGTAAAATTAAATTTATGTTGGAAATCAACAGAGAAATGGAGTTAGTGTGGTAGAGAAGGGTTTGAGGAAATAATCTCCATTCAGTGGCAGCCCATCTTTTTTATTCTCTATAATTCATAATGACTCTGTGGCCATATAGGAATTACCACGAAAATACTTTTCATAATTTTCACACACTCATAATGTGGGAAGTTATCTGTATTAGTCAAAATACATAGAGTAAAAGTTTGCCTCTGTAAAGTATCTAAGATGATGACAGAGGGGGGCGTAAAAAGTCGACTGCTCACACCTATCAGGATGGCTACTATCAAAACCCAGAAAACAAGTGTTGGAGAGGATGTGGAGAAACTGAAATGCTTGTACGCTGTTGGTGGGAATGCAAAATGGTACAGCTATTGTGGAAAATAGCATGGAGGTTCCTCAAAAAATTAAACACGGAATTAGCATGTGATCCAGAAATTTCACTTCTAGGTGTACAGTCAAAAGAATTGAAAGCAGGTTCGCCAAGAGAGTTGCACATCCATGTTCATAGCAGCATTATTCACAAAAGCCACAAGAGGGAAACAACCCAAATGTCTGCTGACAGATGAATGAGAAACAAAATATGGTGTATACATACAGCGGAATATTATTCATCCTTAAAAAGGAAGAAAATTCTGACACACGCTCCAACATGATTGAACCTTGAAGACACTATGCTAAGTGAAAAATGCCAGGCACAAAAAGACAAATGCTGTATGATTTCACTTACACTAAACACCTGGAGGAGTCAGATTCATAGAGGCAGACAGTAGAATGGTGGTTGCCAGGGGCTGGGGAGGAGGGAGTGGGTGCAGAGTTTGAGTTTTACAAGATGAAGAGAGTTCTGGAGCTGGATGGTGGAGATGGTTGTGCAAGAACGTGGATGTACTTAATACCACGGTATTGTACACTTAAAAATGGTTAAGATGGTAAATTTTATCTTATGTGTATTTCATCATAATTTTTTAAACGGAAAAAAATTTTTCAATTGGCTTTTGAGCTAATGAGAAGAAATAACCTATAACGTTATATAGAAAATCCTACATTAGGATGGGGAAGTGGGGCATCAACCTTGAGCACAGAGCCCGCCGTTGAGAAGGGCAGTGTGGGCTCCTGTTATCACTGCTCCATCTAGGAGACAGACAGCTGAGTAAGGCATGAAGCAGCTTCAGGGGGCACACTCCTCGTGGGGCTGCTGCAAGGACTAAACGGATTAGCACATGCAGAGCATTTAGAACACAAGAACATTCAACAAATGTTAGTTTAAAAAACAACAGACACAGTAGGAGAGATAGATGCCAAAATGCTGAAATTCTGAGATTTTGGTGATTTATGTAAAACTAAAACAAAATATTTTTATGTAAAGTGATGGATGTGTTAACTAACCTTACTGTGGCAATCATTTCACAATATATATGTGAATCAAATCATAGCACACACCTTAAACTTACACAGTGTTACATGTCAATTATATCTCAATAAAACTGGAAAAACTTTTTCTAAATATTTGAATTCCATGATACATGACCGACAAATATTACGTTTCCTAGGAACAGAATATTTGATTAACTGGAACACTTTGGTCTCCAATCAAGAAGAATAACTGAGTTACTTTATGTAATAAAATCTTGTGTTCTTGTTCCTAACATGATGTTTTTCTTTTTGATTTTCCAACTTGGTGTGGGTACGCAACTCCTTTCAAAGAACTCCTCCACGCTTGTCTTCTCTTTGGCTTCAGGTAGAACTGGACCCAAAGACTGAGACCACCTCTTAACCAATGTGTGGTCTGAGAGGTTTCACCCAAAACAAGGACTCCTGGCTAGAAAGAGGTAACCAGAGTGATGGCACAGAAACATCCAGCAGTGGACATGATGACTCAGTGAGGACAATTAAATTTTGATGTGCACCACTGGACTGCTATCAAACTGAGCCATGTCCACAGCATATGTAAAGCACCGACATGCATGAGAGTACAAAAAGAGAGGGCAATAAGAAAAAAAATCCTATGTGCTCATATTGTCTACACCTCTAGGAATCCTAGATTTCTAAATCACCTTTGGTAGAAATTTCTGGATTTTTATCATTGATCCTTTCATGGTACCGGACTGTACGTAGTTCTAGTTTTGAACATTAACTGGCAGTGAGTTAGCCAATTTATTTTTAAAATTCAAAGCATTTCAGCGGACTGGTTCAGTGGCGTAGTGGTTAAGTTCACACTCTCCACTTCAGTGGCCCGGGGTTTTGCTGGTTTGGATCCTGGGCCACCCCACTCATCAAGCTATGCTGTGTTGGCATCCCACATACAAAGCAGAGGAAGACTGGCACAGATATTAGCTCAGGGACAATCTTCCTCAAGCCAAAAAAAAAAAAAATGAAAGAAAATCTCAGGAAAATATGAAATATCCATTTTTATTTTGTATGCTGTGCTGTATGATACAAATAATGTTAGGCAGCTTTGTTTGATAATTGAGTGATAAGAGTTTTTCACTGAATTCTTTATAGTTTGAGAAGACAGACACATTCTAGTGGTTGAATACATACAAAATCAACAAAGGTATCAAGACAGTTACTGTTCTCTTTATTAGTTTTAGGCTTTTAAGCCTTTTCCCTTTAGCAACAAGACCTATACTAAAATCCACTGACAAACTCATACAATACTAGCGCAAACATCTACTGCTTATAAAATTGTGGTTAACCACCACTGCTCACACAGCTGCTGCCCTCCATGCACCATTTTCAGAAGAGCTATAGAGATGCCCCAAACTTCTTTAATTCTGGATTTTTTCAGGTTTATTTCTTTAAAAAATAATATGCTTGACTTGTAAAAAATTTACAGTCTCCATAGCAGACAAGAAGCAAGTTTTTAAAAATTATAATCAGGCATATTCTAAGTATAAAAGTTTAAATAATATGCAATTGTATAAAGCAAAAACTGAAGGGGTCCTGCCATCTGTATCACATCAACATGATTCTACAAGCTGCTCTGTTTTCCCCCCTCAAAAACATGTCATAGACATCTTTCCCATGCCAATACAAAGGGAACATCTCAATGGCTGCATGGAGTAGCATAATTGATCTTAGAAATTAAGCAAACATGCAGATATGCCCAAGCACTGAAAATGTTTGAAGAAGCGAGAAATTTGGGAAATAATAAGTGAATCTTAGATAGACGAGGAGCAGAAACATTTGGGGCTAATAATGATAATTTCAGTAGGAGCACACAATTTCTTACTCATGCAAAGGGTACAGTGATGGAATCTCAGAGAAGAGATCATCATAAAACTCTGCTGGGGGCAGGAGGATCAGACATGAAATACATGTCATGAGCATCTGACTAACACACTGGTCAGACACAATCCGCCCAAAGAATCCTTTCATGGCAGTGGTCAACTATGTTTTTTGGCAAAGAAGTCAGACAGCATTTTTGGGACAAGCACAGTTGGCAGAGTTCTTACTTTTTTAGTTAGGGATCCAATATGTCCCCCTTCACCCAGGGTGGGGTAGGGACCATGACCTTGCAGTCTCGAAGCATCACACAACTGAGATCCTCAGGCTTATCCAACACTTCGATGAGCCTTAACCTGCATCTTCATACCTTTCCATATTAGGACAAATAGGGCTTAAGCTTCGTCAGCTGTTTGTATTTTTTTATTCCAAAACAATAGCAGGAAAATGTTACATGAAAAGCAGAAGGCAATTGTATTTCACAGCAATTTTTGTTGGGAAAACAACATTAGGTTTAAAATTAGATTTTAAGTGCATGGTAATTACCATAAATTCTGGAGTGGCATTAAAAGAAGATTTTATTATTCCATTTTTTCCCTCTATTATCTTTCTAGAAATAACTTGTATTCTATTTTAGTGATTACTGGAGATCTATAATTTATTACCGTCAACCTTGAATTCGATTTTACAACTTCAGACAATGTAAACACCTTTCAGGAGTGTAATTTGCCCTCCACTCTTTCTGTTCCCATCGTCACATTTGCTGCTTCTTCACAGGTTTACAGCCCACAATAGTGATTATAGTTGTTGCTTTAAAAAAAGTCAATGATCTTTTAAAAAATTAAATAGTCTTTTTTTTTTTTTTAAAGATTTTATTTTTTCCTTTTTCTCCCCAAAGCCCCCCTGGTACATAGTTGTATATTCTTCGTTGTGGGTCCTTCTAGTTGTGGCATGTGGGACGCCGCCTCAGCGTGGTTTGATGAGCAGTGTCATGTCCGCGCCCAGTATTCGAACCAATGAAACACTGGGCCGCCTGCAGCGGAGCACGTGAACTTAACCACTCGGCCACGGGGCCAGCCCCTAAATAAGTAGTCTTTTATATTTATCTTTTATGGTACTTTTTTTCCTTCATGTATGTCCCTGTGTCCGTCACAGATCAGCTCCAACCAGCTTTGAGAACTTCCTTTAGGGTTTCCTCTCTCTTTCCTCAACACTTCCTTGCGTGTGTGTGTATGTGAGGAAGATTAGCCCTGAGCTCACATCTGTGCCTGTCTTCCTCTTCTTTGTATGTCTGTGAACCAGAGAACCTGGGCCACCGGAGTGGAGTACACGGAACTTTAACCACTCAGCCTTGAGCTGGCCCCTCCTCAGCACTTCTTGTACTGTGGATCTGCTGGCAACAAATTTCCTACGGTTTTTTAATGAATATGTCTTTAACTCACTTTCATTGTTGACAAATGCGTTTACTGGGCATAGAACTCCAGGCCAGCGGTCTGTCTGTCTGTCTGTCTGTCTTGCAGGGAAGATGTGCCCTGAGCTAACGTCTGTTGCCAATCTTCTTCTTTTTTCCTCCCCAAGCCCCAGTGTGTGGTTGTGTATCTCAGCCATAAGTCCTTCTAGGCTTCTACGTGAGCCGCCACCACAGCATGGACACTGACAGATGGGTGGGGGGTTCCGTGACCAGGAAACAAACCCGGGC